CCCCCTCCCTCCTCCTAATAATTCTCCAACTAATGGAGAGGGAACTCAATACTTGGAGTCATATGTACATCATCCAATAACTGAAGAGGAGAGAAAAATCAACAAAGAAATTGGAGCTAAACTTAACAAAGACAATGTTAAAAGTATAATAACAATACAAACCTAGTAATACATTATATCATACCTACCTATTTAGGAGGCATTGAAGCTCATAAAGACAGTGAGTTTATTACAACAATGGAGGACACTTACCAGTACACCGGTCGACAAGAGCGAGGACAATTGTCTCGTTTGACACTGAATGAAAAAAATGGTGTAACAAGCATACCATTTGGTAAAAGAACAATGAATTATTATCAAATCATTTTAATTTGATTTTAGGTGATAGAAATAAAGAGTTGAATATGACGAGTGAGCAAATGAAGTCATACTGTGTGCATGTACCTCATGATGATGGTGAAGAGGGAGGGGAGGGGTCTTCAAGTAAAGGATATGATAAAAGAGTAGCTCACGATAAGACATACAAATCATCAATAAAGATGATGAAAGATAATAAAGGAAAGACATACCATGAGAAGGTTAATGAGTATCCTATTTACAACAGCAGTGCAGGTATGAAAGCATTATTAAAATTTTAATAGTTAATTGTTGTTCTTATTATTGTTATTATTTTTGTTGTTTATTTTCAGAGAGACAGACTCCTGTTCAATACGAGCGTAACTTCAGTTCTCTTCCTTCGGGTGATCTTTGTCCTGAGAGGGTCAAAGAAAGAATGACATTCCTTACCTCAAGCGTCTTCTCAAAAGTAACTTTTAATCTTCAATAATGTATAATTATTCCTTTTCAGCCTCCACCAAACAGTTTCCCAACTTATGAAAACAAGTCACGTCTGAGGACTCACTCAAATGTTCATTTGGGTTCCTCGTCTGTCTTTGGCTTTCCTCTCACGACGTCCCTTGAGTCTTACAAAGGAGATAAAGGAGAATTGTACAGAGCACGTGCTCCGACTAAAGACAACATTGCATTCCAATACAAACCAGGTATAATACAGTATTTATAATAGTGAAGAGTATTTTATCTTTAATTTACAGACAAACCATTAGTATCAACAGTGAAGGACTCTTATGATGTCAAGAAAGTGGCACAACGCTCTCTTAATAAAAGACATGTGAGCTCAAAATAATGAATGATGACAAAATTTTAATTATTTTTATAGCTTAAGAAGAGCCATTGGAAGCTGCCTAAAACTGAAGTTTCATTTGCAACAACAAACCAGACACATTTCCTTCCACCTCCTCCCTCATTCAAACCACTAGCTCCAGTGTATCCGTCAAAAACTTAAATAATTGTTATAAAAAAAACTAAAATAATAATAATATGAAACTACTCTAAATAATTATAGCTGTGTAATACAAACTATCATAGCAAAAATCAAAAATAAAATCTGTATTAAAATAGGGGCAAGGATAATGCATGGTATGTACAAAAGTTTGTATTGTTTGTTTCTGCTAGTCGTCAGGAGTATCAATGACCAATGGACATATGTACTCAGAATGCTTCACTCCCAATGAATATGCTGGAGCAGCTCTTCTGTTGAGTGTCACCCTCTCAGGACAGTGTGCTCCTGGGCCTGGTATTCTTGTAGCATCTATTCAATAGCATAAAAACACATTATTAATGATTGGAGTATCTTTATTTACCAGTTGGCATGTAGTTTCTGCTCTGCATTGAGTAATTTGGAGCTTTTCTTTGCGTGATCTCAGCACTGGTAGTGTTGTATCTAGCTGGCCCTGGGGTTTTAGCATAATCCGTATCAAAGCCTCCAAGTTTAGACCGTGGGGCCATTGAGTAGCAAGCAGAGGATGTACGATTGGGTACTTTATCACCAAGCATTGAAGGAAGAGTGTATGAAGCTGGAGAAGGATTAGCATCCCCTATACAAGAAGAAAAATAATATTCTTGTAATGAATGTTCATGCACATATACTGCATGCATCAGTTACTCTACACAATGAATGATAGTACATACTCTTCCTGTATCTTGTTCTTCCTCCCATTGAGTAAGCAGGTGGTCTATGACGTGACGGATCAGCGAATTTCTCAGGACAGTGGGCTCCTGGTCCAGGCGTCTTGAAAGGCTCCAGCTCTTTGTGCCGACTGTGGAGTGAGTACTGGGCAGTCCCGTCCCTGCCATACCTTGTCATCATTGGGTCAATGAGATAGGCAGGACCAGGCCCTATCTGCTTCTTAATGACTAATAGAGAGAAAGAGAGAGGGGGGGGGATTGATTAATTTTTGCTAAAAAAAACTTTTACTGACATGATGTTCCAAGTCTCAATCCAAAAGAGTATGCGGGGTGTAGTTTCCTAGATACATCGTGTGCTTGATATCCTGTCAAGTTAGGTAAGGTGTATCTTCCAGGGCCAGGACCTAAAGGTGAAGTAAATTAACATCATGTAACTGTAGCACCAAGTACCTCTTTCCATGGCTGCTATTCTAGGTTTCTCCATTTTAGTTTCAGCCATCTTTATCCTTCTTTATTCTTTTGCTCAAACACTGGATCACTGAGGACGATTAGATTTAAATACAAGCTCTTAAGCTACAGCTAGTGTGACTGTAACTTGAGAACTTTAGCCGGTAAAGCCTGCGCGTGAAAAATCTGCAAGGATTCCAGCCCCACCCGATAACCAAATATGGAAGAGACCCACCCATCAATGAATAGATAATTAGATTCATCATAATGAATTATAACCAATGAATATTAATTAGAAATAAAATGGCGGCCATTATCCAAGTAAGAAAGTCTATATTTTCTTCTTTATTTCTTATATTCTTAGTGTAGAAAAATCCACCGAGTCTTCTCTCCATTAATAAATTATTCAAGACCTTTAAACCAACCAATGACAGCAACCAACTACTGTACAGCAACTGAACCAGTAGTACAGACTACTACGCCAGTAAAATGATTTTATTAGGATTTTACTATTATTCAATATTTATTAATTTTATCTTTAGAAATTTGATATTAGTGTAGATCAGTTGGGTACAATATACAGTGTCGGATACTCTGATCTTAAAAAATATTCATTACACAATCACTTACCAACAACACTCAAGAAAAAAGTATGTATTAATTATTAATTAATTAATTGTTATTATTAATGGCACCAGGTGGAAGCTGTTGGTAAGGTCTCATGGTTGCTAAGAGACCCGTCCTGGTACGTACTCTATCATTTAAAGAACAAAAGTGGAAAGAGGTTTCTATTCTGTGAGTTTGAATCTATTTTATTATTATTATTATTATTAATAGATGGTCCTGATGATTGTGGTAAAAGTGTT